ATACACAAACCGACACACAAAGTTAGCGCTTTATAAAATAGAAGGATTCCTTTTAACCGAGCCGCTGACCCACCCGGTTACAAGGCTTCTGTCAACCAGGGGCCGTAAGGTATGCTTCCCCGAATGATTGTGGGGACGAAAGTCCCCTTTAATTTTTTGTTTTGAACGATACTGTTTCTTTATTTTCAATGCATGCTTACTTTAAGCTACACACATATATTAGATGTAGGCCCTTTATCAGGGACAAACTGTTCACTATTACTACAGGTGTATAGCGGTATAGCGGTAACTTGCCGCTACTTGCAGCGCTCACCTCGTCACTGCTTTTTTGGGAGCATATGACGCTGGAGATATGGAATAAGGATACATTCTAAAACGAGGTCCCTCATTCATGTATACAGTCGGCTATTCTTGTAGTCTAGTTGAAAGGCCTTGTTTACGTGCGCGTTATGTTTGAATCTTTTCAAATGCTAGGCAAATGACACGAAGGGCACAATTTCTGCCGACAAGTTTAATTTTTAAAATTTTAAACATGTTGAGAAGTTCGTGTTGAGGTGTTGTCTCCAGTTGTAAATTTTCTCAGGTTGCTTGAGATGTGAAGTTAAAATTTTTGGTATGGATTAGCACATCTGTGTGCGAGGGCTGCTATTTGTTCTGTTCATCGTGCATGTATTCGGATTAAGAGCCTTTGGGGAATTCTCATCTCCGTTTGAAAAATTAGTGTTTGTGCTTAAAAAATGTTATGTAAGAGGAAAAAACCTGCTACAAGTTATGCTCGGGGTTGAAAAAAGTTAGACGTAGTGCGTTATGATGCGCTTCTAACGAGATTTCATCTGCGGCTGGAGCCGCCTTTGTTCTGCGCCAGCATTTGCTGGGCTGCCTCTGCCTGGATGTAACTCGCTAGGACAGAATGCGACTTTCTGTTTTGCGCAGCGCGAGGCTTTTCACTGTGGGAAACGCAGATCTACCAGTTCGGGGTGGACCTGGTTTTCCTGTAGCGACGGGAGCTTCGCACTGCGGAAAGCCAAAAATTCCTCCTGTCCTAGCGACCCACGCCGCCTCTGCCTCCGTTTTGTATCAAGAGGCCTTGCAGCGCTCAGGTGCAGAGGCACAGCAAAGTGTTGTCGATGACTTCCAAGATCTTTGAATCTCGCGAAATCAGTCAACCAACAAGGACCTATTGCGGGTGGGGGGGGTCGTTTATGCTCCACCATATTGCATTTCCGTTTCTAGCGAGCTTTCAGGTTAGCGTACGCTTTTCAAGTGTTGATGAGAAATGTTGGGCTCAGCTTTCACAGTGCGGGAAATGACCGCGCAATGGCCTATTTAGGATCATCAAGGTCCTCATCAGCTCCTGAGTCATGCTTTTTTTTGTGGTGAAGATGTTGAATCCATAGAAGCGTCACATCATCACATCTTTTTCTGAAATATTCGTAGCTACACCATTTTCCGTTAGCTACTCTTATCTTTGTTAATTGGTTTGTTCTTTTCATGAATTCGGTGTTAGGACAAAAGTTTATTTGATGATGTTAACATTTACGTTTATGATTAGGATAGGTTGATTTCAGCAGCCGTACGCGCCGTGATCATCGCACAAGCAATGGCGGAGGTTCGGATATGAATCGTGGAATGTCTGGCATGGGTGGCGGTATGCAGCGTGGTCCCATGTCAGGCATGGGTGGTGGGCACCGTGGTGCGGGCAGCTTCTCGGGCATGGCGTTTTCCGAATCTGAGCTGATGAGCGATTTGCCTAAGAAGAAGTTCACTGGGCGTTGCCGTCTTTTTGTTGGAAATCTTCCCAACGAAGTGAAGGAGGCTGAACTCAAAGAGCTTTTCTCACCACACGGCGACATTGCGGAGTGTTATCTCAGTGGGAAAGGATTCGCTTTTCTGAGAATGGTGAATGCGCGCCGAGAGCGTTTAATTTCCTTCATTTGTTGCGTGCAGTGCCCGGGCATCAGTATATAAACGGCTATCAGGGACAAACGTAACTATCGAACAGCTTTGAGTAAGTTCATCCAGCTATTAAGCTTAAGTTTTGATCGCCATCTACAACTCTAGAGAGCTGTCGATTTGTTGTTTCCCTTTTCGAGCGGAATATTTCTCATGTGAACTTTAGGGTGTCTTCTGCTTGTTCTTTTCTGCATATGATTTCTATCTTGCTCACGTACTTGGAAGCCCATGGACTAATTCTGTAAGAGTGCTTCCAGTGAGTGTGATTCCCCCTTTAATGGACTCTAACCTTCGTCGTTTGAAAACCGTTCTGAGGCAGTATTCGTGGGTCTTCACTACTTGTATCCAAATTCAAAATGATGGCTAGAGGACCATTTGCCCGGTGCACTGTGCGCGCAAACTGAATTTTTCATTGTTCGTTTCGTTTAATGTGATTATGCATTTGTCTAAGAGTAGCTTTCGTAGGATACCCGTGCTCATGCTGAAAGCGCAAAGGAGGCAATCGACGGTCGTGTCATTCACGGGCGCCAAGTCCGCGTACGATTCGCCGTTCACGGCGCTGCTCTGCGAGTAAAAGAGCTCTCTCCTACCGTATCAAATGAGATGTTGTATCATGCATTCTCTCACTTTGGCGATGTTGAGCGTGCTGTACACATTGTCGACGAGAAAGGTCGCCCAACTGGTGAGGGCATTGTCGAGTTTGAACGAAAGCCTTCATGCAACGAAGCCATTTCTGCCATAAAGGAGAAAGTCTTCTTGCTGACAGCGTAAGTTTATGATGACTTTCACGAAATCAGCGGCCTTTTGAGTGTTTTGTGTTGCTACTCTCGTGCGAGGCTTTGACGTTCACAATAGACTGGTAGATCAAGGTTTTCAGCTGGTATGTAGGCTACCACAAGTTATCGTGTCTCGTGTTGCTAATCTTGGCTGTCACGTGTGAGTAATAACACCTCAGACAGTTTTTGGTATTTATTATATTTGTCGACACGTATGAGTATTCAGTACTTTTTGTATAGTTTTGATAACCTGTCATCGTTCCGAGAATGGACTGGTTTAAGAAAAACAAAGCCGAATAAGTTTTGTCCATAGCGCCATTTTAGGGAGGACTCCAGCGCGTGTATGGGGGAGATCCATGTTCCGGTCGAATTCATAGTTAGGGAGGAAATGCACACTTACTCCGCCTGGACGAAGGTTGTGCAGAATAATTCTGTAGACAGTTAGGATTGTAATAGTTGAACTGCTCCATCATTGAGAAATTGAGAAGGGTAGTAAGACTCTTGAGGACTGTAGTGAGGACTTCACTAGCACTACCATAAGCAGCGGTTTATACTATATATTAAAAAAATTAAGTGAACCCCGTGAGCGCGGAACGCTATTAAGAAGGGCAGTCCTGCTGCACGAGAATCGGTGCAACATCGAGTATGCAGAGCAGTCACATTGAGTCTACTACGCTAATATTCCGTTTTGCTTGGGGCTCTGATTTCAATAAATATGTGAAGGGAAGAAGTCGAGCACCGAGCTTGTACGACAGTGTTCACATATTACCCTGTTTAGTCACGTCCGCGCCATTTTGTGCATTAAGGCACGCTTTTTCTTCATCTAGCTTTTTTGCTCAACGGGACGTTACACCGCTTCTATTCTAAAAACAAAATACTGTAGCAGATATATTTTGAGTTTCGCTGTAGCGTCAGCGTCCACTCTGCCAAGCGCGCTTGGTGTAGTGGGTCTATCTAATGAGAGACAATGCCTTGAACACCGTCAATGCGATAGATCACAAAAACTATATTCTTTTATTGCCAACATCGGGAAATAAGCATTAGGGTGTTTCTCCGAAGTCAATTTTATATTCGTTTTCCCAGTAATCCCTATACCCTGCTTGCAGTTGCTTTTTCTTGCCATTTAATGCAAAACAAATATAGCATATGGAAATCATTGACATGGTGTGGGAGAGGGGTCGCTGATAGTTCGTAACTAAGAAATCGCGTTAGATTGGGATTTGCATCAGTTCATGCACCATCATGCCCCTACCCCTTTGGAGTACGCTACTGAATCAGGTTAATCAGTAGTTCTGTTCTGCGTGCCTCTATTTTGAGTATTGTCGATCCATAAGAGATTAGTAGAGTGAGATAATGGTAGACTGAATGTTATCATGCTGTTCAGTGTTTTGTGGAGCCAACCACCAGGTGCCTAATCTTGATCTGAAATTGTGAACATCATTGCGCAGCCGATATCACTTTGATCTCGCTGATCATATTTTGTTGCTTCCAATTGCTTCCTCCTGGATCCATACTGTAATTTGTATTAGGAGCCCCAAACCTCTTATCGTCGAAATTCTCGAGCCGAGAGACGAGGACGACGGACTTGCAGAGAGAATGATTCCTAGAACTTCTCAACTAATTAAGTAAGTTTTGGATCCGACATAATGAGATAGGTATTTTGTGGTGTACTAGTCGTTTAATCAGTGTTCGGTCAGAAAATTTTGAAAGCATGGATCCAACTACAATATTAAATTTGCAAATTAATCTTAGATGAAATTCAACGGTTACGCAGTCCGCATTAACAGCAATCATGTTGAGTGGAGAAGTTCATGGAAGCAGGCATGCGACGCAGTATACCATGCATGCTATGTTTAGGACCTTTTGCGTTGAAAGGGAAATCTCAATTTTAGCTTTTGAAAGTGTTTTCGCTGTAGAGTCTCAACTGACAGTGAGCTTAAGTTTGACCGAATACTAATTAGGCGAGTCTGTGAGAACCCGTCTCGTAGGTAGCAATTTTCGTCTCACTCACTGTGTTGCTAGATAAAAATCGGATTCTCACCTGCACATTGCATTTGATCGTAATGGACTCAAATTAAGTATTTGTGCTCTGAGATGTGCAGGTGATAGGTAGACCGGACATATAATGGACTTATCCAGGGAGCGTGAATTTGGTCCTCGTTTTCCCGCTCGTAACACTTTCGAATTTGTGTACGGGATGAAGTGGAAGGAGCTGTATGAAATGGAGAAACAGCGTAGAGCCCAGCTGGAAGATGAGCTGAGAGAGGCACGTCGTCGACTCGAATCTGACATGGAGCTAGCTTATCAGGACTATCAAGCGCAGATGCTTCGTGAGGGTTAGTGAATTTAAGTTTCATCCATGATAGGGTGATTGTTGCTATTGTTGAAGAAATTGAAAGTAAAGGTGACTGTCGTTATTCACTAATACGCTTTGAAACTGGTGCATTGGTTCGATTCATCGAGTATGCCAAATGGTGTCCCTGGAAATCCGAAAAGTGCCCCGTTGGTACCTCTGGCTGAAATTACGCTCATGATAGTGCATTTGCTCATTTACAGGCGCACAAAGCTCTGTTTTTCTTGGTCAACGCACCACACGGTGTAGGCATGTATCTTTCAGTCAATCCACCATATGGTTGTAGAGTTTGTAATTTAAATATCTCATTTAGCACAACTGTGTAAGTATTGGGATTCGTTATGAGCCGGGGCTTCCATGAAGCACCGATATCTGTGATTCTTTTCCTTTTTTGTGCTATTGGGTGGTCTTGGAAACTCCCGGCTCACCAGTTTCGTATAAGACTAACTATCTCAGCGACACTTTTTAATCACAGTATAAATATAAGTGTAGGTGATAGATAGCTGTTCGGGTAAAAATGTAGAGATTTCACGAAACTGCTAAAAACTCGCATGAGTACATTACACTTTTATCGTCAAGGCGAAGATTGTGACCTTCTTTTTGGACCTCATTGAATGAGAAGAGGCCAATCAATGGAAAGGTCGCAACCTCGCCTCCACGATCGGCGTGCAATGTGCTTTGGTCGGGTTCATTGTTGTGCGGCTTACTCACGCTTAGAAAATCTTGGAATGTATCTCAATTGTCCGTTTTCGCTTTGGCGGTAGTGTACTGGTTGACGAGCTGCTACGACACCGTTTTAGGAAACCATGTTAGGATCCTCTAGGTACTAGCTATTTGCAGGCAGATGATTAGTCTACAGTATTCGATATCGGTTTTTCTCTATACTGTGTTGCACTGCGGTGCCCAAAGAAAAACGATGCTTGTGTGTACCGTGAAATGAGTTATCGGGTTTTCATACGGTTACTTTTATTTCAAAAAGTTATTTATTCGCACCTCTGCTTCGTCTGTTCTCGTGCATTAAAATAATTGCCTTGAGGCAAATATTGTCATGCATAGGGACCATTTTCAAATGATTTTCCAAAGCTTAATGAGTAGCTATTCGTGATCGTTGTGGCGGTGATGTTCAGATGACTAGAGAATATTTAGATTCTTGCACTCGCATTCTTCTACTCAGAATTGAAATGCCGTCCTCGCAGAAGTGAACAAACTTGTGGTGTAATCTGAAACTCATCGTAAGGGCCCCCTTGTAGTAACAAGGTTGGAAGTAGTATACGCATATGCGTGTTGCTCATATGCGAAGCCAAGTGCCAATTGGTTCCTGTTTTACGACCCTTCTCAGGGAACCTCAGACTTTTGCGTACTACGAAGCATAGTATGTATAGTTTACTTCGATTTGAGCGCTCAGTAGTATCCGATTATTGATGGAATCTAGGAGAACGTGCGTCGAATCGTAAAATAATGGAAGGCGATGGAGTCACGTTGTTTATACGACAGTAATTTTTTTGTACGAGAGTTTTCATTAGAAATAACGGGTTGTTGAACCTTCCATGCTTTTTGAAACTCGAAGAAATTGGTTGCCGTACTGGAAACAGTCGGTCGGTGCAAGGGGCTGCACCAGAATGATCCTTCAGCTCTGCTCGGTCTGTTTATTTTCTGGAATTAACCGCAAGGTAGAGGTGCGAATAATAACATCACATTTGTCAAAAAAGCGGTACCATTCATTTTTATAGAATTTGGAACTCCTGAAAGTGCCCATCTATGTTGTAGTGTTTCCTGTGAATTCCCGTGTTCCATGTTGATTCTTACCTCTTTGGTCGACCTTGTACTGTGCGGGAGCACCCAAACAACCTGCCTCTCCAAAAACGTCCACTTTTCAATCAAACTTCTCAAAAGGTACAAGTTTTGTAACAGGTACCGGTAGCTCGTTCAACCTCTGTTCTTCTGGATCATTTCGTTATCAACGCATTTCCTAGAACTCAAATACATTTTGGGATCTAGATGTTCTAGTAAGGATCTGACTATTTATTGAGCCTTGTTGAGTCAGGCTCTGTTCATAGTTGGCTGTGAGTTAAACGAGAGCTTCCACATAAGTTGCATTTCTGCCGCTGTCGGCAGAAGTTCGAGTGCAGCTGTCAGCATTGTTTCACATCGCTTGTTATAAGTTCTCGTGGATCTCACTGTTTCGTCTGCCTGAAATACGAACTCAAATCTTGTTAAACAAGCTTCATCGTCGCCAACTATGTACAGAGGTTCCGGTTATTTGCGAATAGTGCTAGACAATCATGCTTGAGAATCTTTACTGAGCAAACTTCCCTAACGTTCCCATTTAGATCTACAACGTCGTCAGCAAGAACTTGAGCGACTCGAGGCTGCTCGTCGTGAGCGCATGAGTATGAGGACGGCTGCTGGCGGTCCTGGTGGGCCACCAGGTCATGGAGGTTCAGGAATGATGGGCCATGGTGGACCGATGCAAAGCTACGGCCAGCCAGGTGAGGGCTATATTATATTCATTTCCCTATACTTCTTGTCCACACTTTATTTTATTTGTTTATAGGACCATATGGGCAACCGATGGGAGGACCGCCAATGGGAGGTCCAATGGGAGGACCGATGGGTGGACCGATGGGAGGACCAATGGGCGGACCAATGGGCGGATATCAACCATATACTCAAGGAGGACCTGGAGGACCTGGAGGACCAGGTGGACCAGTAGGTGGCTCGCAAGGACCAGGAGGACAACAAGGACCAGGAGGACCTGGAGGTCCTGGAGGTCCTGGAGGACCAGGTGGGCCTGGAGGACCTAGAGGAGGAAGGGGTAAATCATGACTCATTCCTTATTTGTGAAAAGCAATTCTTGTCTTTTATAGAATCTGGAAATCAGCGCCCACCTCAGACGAATAATATGTTGGAAGGAGTACAACGCCTCCTACAAATTTTCAAGAATGATCAGCCAGGTCAGCAGAGTGAGTCTCGCGCGTTACAGCATCGTTCTTCAATTGTTTTCGTCATACTTGCTGCGTCAGGTAGCTTAGTGTTTGCAGGACCGTTATCCGGATCTGGACCATTCGGCTCCGGTGGACCTGGTGGTCCCGGTGGCCCAGGACCCGTTGCTCCCTTCGTCGGAGGGCCCGGAGGACCTGGTGACTATCCACCTGAGAAAAGGATGCGCCGCTAGAAGGATTGTTGTTGATCTGCCCGTTCTACGTTCGTCGCGTATTTATTTGTGGAAGTGTTGTTGACGTCACGTGAAGGTTTTGTCGTAATTCGGGATCAGTCCCTCACCTTGCAAATCGCATTTTTATTAAAGTTTTCTGTGATGCAGAGCATCCATCCACTTTGCAGTTGGTTGTATTTTGTTATCATATCGTTCAATTCGGATGATGTATGCTGAAAGTCGTAAAAGTTATAGTAAAAGTTTGTGGACCATCACTGTCGTTATCATAGCTTCCTAAAAAGAGCTTGTTGTGTATTGCTTTGGCTCTCTATCTTAGTATTAGACTGATAAATAAGTTGTGGAACATTAAGTACAACTTTGACTATTTTTCCAAAAACACGATCAATAGCAGCGGTTTGAACAAGTGCTAGATCACTGTTGAACTATTTGCCGTATCATACTCTCCGTCAATTCGTCAAAGGTGCCGTAATTATTGCAACATGCTTTATGCAATGTAGCTTTTCTGGAAATCGATCCAACTTCAACTGGTCAAACATAATATGCTCAGCATTCATCTGATATGCCTTCCCATAGCCCTGATTACCGCTCTGAGAGGTCACATTTGCTACAGTCCCGCATGGTCAATTAAGGGGTATCCTCATTCCAATTTGCAGGGAGAGGACATCAGCTCCTTCATGTGAGACGTTTTTTGTACAGACTCTTCACTAAAATAACCGAAATCGTGTTGTGCAGCACACTGAGATTAAGGAGCAGGCGAGCTTTCGTTTGAGGGCGGTATTTCGAGAAGAGAAGCACGGCAGCGGTTCGTCTGTGCAGAAACGCTGTCCTGTTGGGAAATAAAGCATTCCTCCCTAAAATGGCTGGCTAGTAACCTTAGTAATATTTGCTCATTATCAACAATCACCAGTGATCAACCGTATGCCGAGACTCCAGTCCAGACTAACAGGATTTGACTGACTTGAGGAGAGATTCCGCTCAAGTGAGAAACTCCAAGTGTGAAAGTGTGACGGACGTAGCTACCTTCCACTTCGATTTCTGCGCCCAGAAACATGGTCTTCATATGATTACCTTCTGCGGCCAATTTCAGGAGCGCTTCACAACTCGCTTTTCTGTTAGGTGAGCCGCGTTCCTTCAGCATCTTGTAGAGGCATGCATGTGTGCAGTACATATCTCGTCGTCTGAGTAGACGTGGAGAAATGACGTGACGGCCGCCGCACTTGATAGAGGTCAGGCGGATAAGCTGCTTTCAATATACTTCGCTGTAAATCAGCAGAACATGCTGGGATCACCTGGACTGCAGTTCTTGTCAGGGAATTTTCCACATGGTCGTGCTAGAAACTCGCAACTTTGGCTGTCATTCTCTCGCTCCTGCGGGATTGTTGTTGACTCGTATCTTCACAGTTTTCCTGAAATCCGAAGAAGTTGAACTTAGGGGATGGTGGAGCACGACTATCCATCCGTTGCTCCTTTCTTCTACGCACTGCACATTGTTATCGATGCAAGTTCTAAAGATGAACAGTGTTTGAGAATGTCCTGTCTCACATAAAAGACGTCAGACGACATTTGCAGCAACAATCAT